GCCAGCGGGGGAAGCAGCAGCAGCAGCAGCGGCGGCGGCGGCGGCGGCAAAATAAAGAAAAGAAAAGAAAAAAGAGAGAGAGAGCAGGAGAAAGAAGCAGCGGAACGAGGGGGGGGAAAAGCGAAGCGGATCTCGGTGGATGTTTCCACCACCTGGACTTGAAAAAACTACAGCGAAACCCTTCGCGTTCTGCGCCGAGAAAAGTCTTTTTAGTTGTGCAATTTTTTTTTTTTTTTGGTGCAGCTTTGTGTGTCATCTTTAACCTTTTATCCATTCTTATTTTGATGGCTTTCCTGAATGGCTGACTGTGAGCTTCCCTGGACCTGGCCCCCCGACACTCGCCTCTCTTCCTTCAACTCCCCTACTGCAGATCAGTTTAAGAGAGAGAGAGAGGGAGATCTTTGAAGAGATCTCTCCCCCCCCCCCATCCCCCCTTACTTTTCTGTCTTGAAGCCAGACAATCGACTCGCAATCTGCCCCCCCCTCGACCCCTCGTTCTCCACCGTCGCTGGCTTTTTTTTTCTGTTCCCCCATCCCCCTTGTCTCCTTTTTTTTTTTTAAAGAAGAGAGGGAGGGAGAGAGAAACTGCTGCAAAGCTGATCTGAAAGCAAAGCAAACAAACTTTAAACATAAAGGGGGAACAGGAAGTTTGGAAACGGTGTCCAATAGATATGGCAATGGTAGTTGGTGCGTGGCGAGATCCCCAGGACGATGTACCCGGAGCTCAGGGAACTCAGCCTTCTCAAGTCCCTCCTGTGCAAGGACCACCAGCTGGGGCCCCTCACACACCACAAACCCCGGGACAAGGAGGGGCACCCAGCACTCCAGCCCAGACCAACCAGCCAAGCCAGCAGAGCCAAGGAGGAGACAAGCAGCAGCAGCAGCAGCACATTGAATGTGTGGTTTGTGGGGACAAGTCTAGTGGCAAACATTATGGCCAATTTACCTGCGAGGGCTGCAAGAGTTTCTTCAAGCGGAGTGTAAGGAGGAACCTGAGCTATACTTGTCGTGCCAACAGGAACTGTCCCATTGACCAGCACCACCGCAATCAGTGTCAGTACTGCCGCCTCAAAAAATGCCTCAAAGTTGGCATGAGACGGGAAGGTATTGGGATTTCATTTGTTTTCCAATTTTCACTCGCTGCATTTTGCTTCCCCTCCCCCCTGTTTCCCACAAACCAGTTTTTTTTAAGGAGGAAAAAAAAAGCCAAACAATAAACAGAGAGTGAGAGAAACTTTCTCTTGATTCAGAAAGAGGTGGGGGGGGGGGGGGGGGGGTGCTTGCTTGCTTTCTCCTGCCTTCCTAATTGATTTGTGTGCGTGTGTGAGGCGGCTGTTGGAGGATCATTGGAAGTGGATATTTTAGTTTCAGTTGTTTAAGGAGGGAGATTATTTTTTTCTGAGGCATGATTACGTGTGTATGTTTCCTCCTGCATGTTCCACATCCCTGTCCCCAATTCGTGTGTGTGTGTATGTGTGTGCATTTATAGATAGAGAAATGAATGTCTGCCCCCCACTCCCCAGCCTTACATTGCAGTTTTCCACAGGAGGTTCGAATTACTGGAGCAATGTAACTAGCATTGTAACACTGCAGGGCTCTTCAGCATTCCATTATGGAATCTCAGTCTGATTTTTTTAAAAATAGACTCGTCTTTTTATTATTATTATTATTATTATTATTATTATTAGCCCCCTCCCCTCCACAGCAGAGACAGAGAGTATGTGGCAAAAGGAACGGGGGAGTATGGAGGAAACAAATAAGTAGCGGAGGGGGTTTGATCGGGGCCAGTCGAGTCTTTGTGATATAAAATTAGACGAGACATGTGCGCCTCCAGTTTTTGCAATGGCGTGTTCCGTGTCTGGACGCTGCTATGTAGGTTAAGGGTTAGGAGCTTTGGACTGCCTGGCTGGTCTTTGTGTGTCTGCGAGAGTAACTAACCTTATCATACGCCAAATAACCAATCTAAGCCACGCACATTCAGCCACTCTCCCTTCTTTCTGCCTCTCTGGCTCTGATTCCCTTCCCCTCTCGCTGTCACCATGTAAATTTATTAACCAAATGAAAGGCCCACTTTCCATGAGCAGCTGAAAAAGGTGCTTTTAAATAATCACCCTCGCCCGTCGCGTGTGTGTAGACCCACGTCTGTGTGTGGCGGTGGAATTTTACCTTTTTCGAGGATTATTGGATAGTCAATACATACTGTCTGGGACGAGCACTTAGTATTTTGAAAGGTGCCAGCACCCTCCCCGCCCTGCAGCCTTAAATCAATAAGCAATATCAGCTGTTTAGCTGTAATGAAGAGGATCCCCCCCCCCACACACACACACACACATACACAAACGTTCGGTACCTATGGGGGGGAGGATTTTTCGTGTGTTTAGGAGCTGTGGATCCGGACTAGTGTCCTTAAAGCAGTTCAGAGCAGCAGCCTTGAGGCAAGTACACAGCGTTGCTTAGCTTTTATTACTGCTTTTACTTTAATCAGGGGCTGCAGAGCCTTAAACCAGACCCAGGCTGCACGCTGTCTGGAAAATTGCGTGTCGTCTCCCCTCTTCCTCCCCCCCTCCCCTTGAAGCTGACTTTACCCAGGGTCACACACTAAGCAGCACTTGATTAGCCAGGTCCGTGGCAATTCAGATATTAATTGCTGTAGTTTCTTCTTTATTTACTGCAGCCGTCCAGAGGGGCAGAATGCCACCCACACAGCCAACTCATGGTCAGTTCGCCTTGACAAATGGGGACCCTCTCAACTGCCATTCCTACCTATCCGGATATATCTCCCTTCTCCTGAGGGCAGAACCCTACCCGACCTCCCGCTTTGGCAGTCAATGCATGCAACCCAACAACATCATGGGCATCGAGAACATTTGTGAACTGGCAGCCCGGATGCTCTTCAGTGCGGTGGAGTGGGCCAGGAATATCCCCTTCTTCCCAGACCTCCAGATCACAGACCAGGTGGCTCTCCTCCGGCTGACCTGGAGCGAGCTATTTGTGCTCAACGCTGCCCAGTGCTCCATGCCCCTTCACGTCGCTCCTCTGCTAGCCGCTGCTGGCCTGCACGCTTCGCCGATGTCTGCTGACCGAGTGGTCGCCTTTATGGACCACATACGAATCTTCCAAGAGCAAGTCGAAAAACTGAAAGCGTTGCATGTCGACTCTGCAGAATATAGCTGTTTAAAGGCCATAGTCCTCTTCACCTCAGGTAGGCAGCATTTATTTGCAATCCCCCCTTTTCTTTTGGCACCCCTTTGAAATCGGTTCACTCTGGCCAAGTGTAAGAAGCTGGAAACCTTGTCAGTGAGCATTGCTACATGTGTCCTCTTAGAAACATGGGATGTGCTTTTCCAAGACAGGCCTGGCACTAAGCACCCTACCTTACAGGGAGCCTGCAAATAGTTTTAACAATGATCAAGAGGGAGGGGGGAAAAAACTTGTGAGCGCCGATAAGGCATGTGAGGCTCTGTCTTCCCCGGTGAAAGTAATATTTGATTTCACAGGATAGCCCTGGCATTTAATGACACCGATCCCAACAGCAGCAAAGGCTGCCCATATTGCTAAATGCAAGTCTGCCCATCCTTGAATCAGTTTATGGACAGCCACAAAACAACCCACCAAAGCAGTCCTGAGGGACTGAAAATCAAATTTAAAAAAGTTAAGCATGCAATTCCGAATTTAAAATACACTCGCTTCCTTCTCAGAAAAGAAAATAAATCACATTTCCAAAGAGCTGTTCCTGGATTAAATAGAACGTGGCACCGAGCAATTCTGTGTCACTTCATTTAAGGGGGCAGGTTTGCAGTTATACCGAACAGGAGTTGCATGGTCCAAAGTAAGTAGCGGTTCGGAAAAGATAATTACTCCACTACACTTGGAGTAGTAATATGTAAAAGTAACAGGACAGGGTGCTTAGCTGAGCCTTAAAACTGATTCTGTGCTTCCTATGCCCCTCTGCAAGGAAATAAAGCAGGAAGGTGTTTCTTAGATCATTAAAAGTGGAAAAAATAGGTGCCAACTTTTTCTGCATATAAATAGTATATGAGTTATAAAACAATAATTGAATGCATTATGAAATCTAATTAGTTTGCACCGTAGTTTAATCTATGTGAGTAATCGACTTCATTTTTAACTCTGGAGGCTATATATAGAAAGAGATGTAATGTATATGCATATATTTATATTTAAATGAATGCTTTCTAATTTGTGCACTACACTAGCCTAGGCTGCTAACTTAAAGGTGGCATCCGGTGACACTGTTTTGGATCTCTAGAAGTTTTGGGTTAAGGTGGTTTTGTTTTCTTAAATGATTTCTTTTGTAACTAATTTGAAAGCTTGGGAAAGTGACCACGTGATAAACATATGAATGGAAGCAGGACCTGTAAAATAATTACTCATCGGAGTTTTTTAAAGCTTGATATCAGGAAACAGAAAAAAAATGTAGTTTATGTGGAGTGGGGGGAGGACGACTTACAATCCACTCCTTGTTGTGTTAAAGGGGGTCTGGGGAACCAAGTCATTTTCTGGACTTTGTCCAGGTTCTGGGTCGTGACCTAAACTTCCTTTTATATATTATTGCTTTACACACAAAACTTTCCCCCAAAATTACTTGGGTTAAAGTCCTAAGGTGATCAATTAGCAGGGCGCATCTAGCCGTAGGAAAGCAGAACGTACCGTTTGTTTGTGAGATGCTTATTTTATTATCCTGTCATTTTCCAGGGATGCATTTTTTCCCTGGCTCAATTTTTCAGCTAGGGTTCCCTCGCCCCCCAACACATACTCTCCCGAACACAGCCCTGACGAGTTTATTTCAAATCCTGGATTTCTAAAGAACACTTTTTTTAGCCTTTCAAGAAAGCAACCGTCTGACACTGTGGTAACTGTTAAATTTATTACTATTTGCAAAACGTGAGGCCTGGCATGCAAATTGCCTCCCAACTAGATAAAGGTTTCTGTTATCTGATTCTGTAGAAAAGCACACATGCAAAAATAAGAGTGATGCATGCAGCTTCTCAGATACCCCAATATCTCCCAAGGATGTAAAACAGACACACACATCGATGCATGCGATGTCTGCCCTGATTTTATTATTTTTGCTTTTTTGCTTTAAAAAAAAAATCTGGGGTCTAATGACTCGCAGAATATGCATGTTAGCCCTATGCCTAAGAAGGCACAGAGAGGTCAGGTCATAACCTGTACTCTCAGCACAGACGTCTGTGATTTAAAGGGAACTGATTGTATTTTAGCGTATCAGGAAAAAATGTCCAGACCATATTAGGGAGTTTTCTTCTTGTAGAGGATTTGGGTTTAAAAGAAAGAAAGAAAGAAAAAGTGAGAAAAAGAAAAAAGAAAGAGAAAAGAAGGGGGGAGAGCTCAAATGAACAGAGAGATCACAGTTTGCATGGCTGCTTCTGAATAGGCTAAACTGACAAGATCAGTTTTAAAGAGCCACTTAAATCAGTTTCAAAGACTGCAGAAAAACGCGCTGTCTTCTTTGGGGGAGAATCTGTTGTTGGATCCGGGGCGCCATTATTCTTGGCTGGGCCAGTTTTTTTTATTAATTATTATTATTATTGTTGTTGTTATTCCTTCTAGCCACATGATGATATTCTTCACAATTGTTTTCCGGGTGGGAAAGAAAGAGTGGCTTAGCCCCGCACCTTTTTCAAGCTTTGCAAGTAATAACACTGATAACAGGACATTTCCCCAGATCATCATGTAGTGCAATGAAACCCTAAGATCTTGAAGCTTTGCTGAATTGTGAGGCAGACCCTGCCGAAGGGTGGATTGCACACATATGTGTACATTATACATATAGAGAGAGAACTATATATTATTCTACTTTTGCTAAAACAGACTTAGCTCTGAGAGCGACATGACCAATCACCATCTATACCTCATTTTACCAGTTTTTTTAAAAAAAAAAACAATCCTCTTTAAACTGATTGTTTTCTTTCTGTCTTTCCCTTTTTCTTTTTTTCTTTTTTTTTTTTAACTTTCTTCTAGATGCCTGTGGTCTCTCTGATGTAGCCCATGTTGAAAGTTTACAGGAGAAGTCACAGTGTGCTTTGGAAGAGTATGTTAGGAGCCAGTATCCCAACCAACCAACGCGATTCGGGAAGTTATTGCTACGTCTCCCCTCACTGCGCACTGTCTCATCTTCTGTCATAGAGCAATTGTTTTTCGTCCGTTTGGTAGGTAAAACCCCAATAGAAACCCTAATCAGGGATATGTTACTGTCTGGCAGCAGTTTTAACTGGCCTTATATGTCCATTCAATAAAAAATTGGAGAGAAAAAATAAAATATATATATTGAGAAGGGAGATGAAAGAGAGAAAAACAAAAGCAAATGACGTTTGGGTTCTGGTGGTTGCTTAAATTTCCTTCCGCTAAGGATGTAAAAGAATGTTACAAGTTTGCTAAAAGAAGACAGGAAAAATAATGGACTGTGAATTAAAAAAAAAAAAGACTCTCAAATGAACTTTTACAGAATGCATTAAAAAACTCCCGTGTCGTTAAGAGAAAAAAAACTTGCTACTTATCATTTTTTGTTTAAAAATAAAGGGAAAAGAAAAGTTAAAGAAAAAAGAAAGATGAAGGAAATACATTAGGTGGGGTTTTCTTTTTTCTTTTCTTTTTTTTTCTTTTGGGGGGTAATTTTTTTAAAAAAAATCTCGCTAAAAGTGCTTTTAAAGGAAATTTGGAGAAAATTAGCAATGGAAAAAGTAAGTCTTTTTTTCCAAATTATTAATTGTCCTATGTGTCTATGTACCTATAGTTGTTCTTTTTTTGTATTTTTCTGGTTTCAAACCAGTTTATTCTGTGGTTCTATAATAATTTTTGATATAACCTTGGCTTCTTTAAAAAAAAGTGTATCCTTAAAATATATGTTCTGAAAGAATTAAAACTGAGTCCACGGAAGTATCATAGGAAGAAAGGAAAAGAAAAGGAAAAAAACCCTCAACAACACAATGATGGAAGCGCACTTAGAGGTGGTGACCCACAATTTAGCTTGAAGCTGAGAGAGAGCTATAATTATATAGACCCCAATGAACCACATGTCACTTAACTACCCCAAAAACTAGGTTTTTGATATTTTCAGACAGAAAATGAACTGTGGGGATTTATTGTAGGTAGAATGAATTGTGTCCAAGACACATTATGGTTTTGATTAAAAAAAACAAAAACAAAAAAACAAAAAACAAAACAAAACAAAAAAAACAAAGTGAACTTTTGTAATTTGGATTGGGTTCCACATAGTTCTTCATGAATTGTTATTAAACTCCTCTATCTGTTTGTATATTTGCAAGCCCTTTGTATTATAATAATTGTTGATATTTTCCCTTTTTAAAAATATCATTGAAATCAGCATGACAAAATAACACTGTTGGCACTTATAGATAACGTGATTGATTCAGTATCTTAGAGTTTACAGTTTTGTGTTTAAAAAAACTGAAGGTTTTTTTTTAAAGTGCAACATTTCTGTATACTGTAAAAGTTATAATAACTGAACTGTTTGGTCGAGTCTTTGTGTGTTATATTCCAAGGAAAATTGAAAGTATTCAGAAATTAAAATATTATTTGATATCTGAACCTTGTTTGGCTGTCATAAATGTCTTTCAGTAACCACATTAATTCTCTATAGTTTGTAGTCATATAAGTCCATAGGCAATTGATTTGTTTACTTGTCACAATAAGTTTATAGCAGATTTATAGTAGTGTATTTACTTGTTTAATTCGGGAGTGGGGAAGGGAGACTTAAATTCATGGTTTATCTATGGTTTTAGGAAGTACTATATTGAAATGGTAAACCATTACTCCCCACCAACCCCCTTTCATCTAATCCTCCTGTTAATTAAAAATGGATTTTCTAGAGAAGGCCCTTGTTTTTGTCACACTTAAGTGCCTACATAGGAAAGTTATTGTTGTGAAAAAGTATTAGAAATCTGAAGATCAGTATCTATTTTATGATCAGAATGGGAGGAAAAATCTTTTGTACATTTCTGATATACACGCACAAGATCACTGGAGCAAGGTAATAGCAGTATTGTAAATACAGGCCAGTTGTTTGCATTGAGTTTTCTTTAAGCATGTGTGTTATTTTTTATAATATTCTGTAACTTCCATCTATGGTTGTCATTGAGAGGTCTTCAAAAGGAGTGACTTAGATTGTAGGACTGAGGAGAGTGTTTTTAATGTGTAAATATAATAGCAAGTGGATTTTTTTAAAAAAATTGGACAGTGAAAGCATGACCAGAGGTCGTCACCATATTTTATGTTTGGGATGTATGAATGCATGTGTATGTCTATTCACACATACATCAAGCAGGGCCCTATATGGCAATCCTCGCGCAGGCAAAGGTCCCATTCAAATCAGTGGGCGTTATGCCTGCGGAAGTGCAGCAGGATGGGATACGCAGTTTGTGTATTTCATACTTACTATCCCTTGTCATCACAAATAACATGTTAAGGAAGGAAAGACGAAGCAGGGTGATCTGATTTTGAAAGCTGTTGCTTTCTTCCTCTTTTTCGTGTGTGTGTGTGTTCCGTCTCCACCTTTGGGCGATAGAAGATGCTTTGTGTGTGAAAGCTTGCAATTTGGTCCTTGTGTGAGGCTCCCTCCTCCCCCCCTCCCAAGTTACTATACCATGTTTGGGTTTTTAAAAAAAGCCTGAGAGATAATTCTATAAAGTCGATTAAACCCTGATCTTCCTCCCAGTTAGACACATCTGTTGAGGGCTTTGTGTGAGAATTATATACATAATTGTGAATTTGAGCAATTTTACATCTGAACCACGGCATATATATATGTGTGTGTGTGTGCGTGCGTGCTTTATTGAAGGGGCTTGCTGACCTCTAGATTTAGCTTTTTCTATTGCAAGTACTCTACATGTGAGTGAGTGAGTGTGTGTGAAGTTTTTATTCCAGCTAAGACCACAGGATCTTTACTTGTTTGTTTTGTGTTAGCTTATTGTAAGCAACCGTGTGCTGTACATTGTTATTGGCATTAAATTATAATTTATGATTTTCAAATCAAAAGACAGTCCCTGGTTTTTTTTCTTTGTTTTAAAGCCTGTGAGCTAGATCCAGATAGATCTACGTTTCTGCAGCCAGCTTTGGTTCACATAGAATGAGCGTAAACAGAAAATGCATAAGGGTTAAACAAAAACCCCATGTATATCTATTTGGAATGCTCAGAGGAGGATTTGTTTAGGGACTTGCATTAGGTTTAAGTTTATAGCATTTAAAGAAAGTTTTTCTTTTCATGCTGAGTTAGAACAAAAGACCTATCCAACGACTGAGTTGGACAAAAGAGGAGGGCTGGGAATGAGAGGCTTGTTCTATGTGAAATTGACGAGATCTTTT